CATTTATTCTGCTTCTCCCCTTTTTTTCCAGGTGTTTTAAGGCAAATCCCAGACCTTATGTCATTTCAGCCCTACATATGTCAGTAGGCATCTCTCAAAAAAAATGGCATTTTCTTATGTAGCCTCAATACTACTATCTCACCTAATAAAATTAATAATTATCTGAAATTATTTAATATCCCAATTATCTATTTAAAAGATTTTATAAGGTTGGTTTTTCAAATCAGGATTCAAGCAAGTCTCTCTTAATTGTTATGGCACATAACTGTCTTTTAAATCTAAAATAAACACTTCTTTATGTGTGCCTCTTCATTTAATTCAATCCTGAAGAAACTAGGTCAACTGTATTTCATAGAGATCTTTTTATTGCAGATCTGTTTAAATGCTTTAATTAAAAAAAAAATTAGGCCAGGTGCAGTGGCACACACCTGTAATCCCAGCATTTTGGAAGGCCAAGGCGAGAGGATCGCTTGAGCCCAGGAGTTCCAGACCAGCCTGGGCAGCATAGTGTAGCCCCTGTCTCTACCAAAAAAAAACCAATCAGCTGGGTGTGGTGGTGTGCGCCTGTAGTTCCAGCTACTTGGAAGGCTGAAGTGGGAAGATTGCTTGAGCCCCAGAGGTCGAGGGTGCAGGGAGCAGTGATTGTGCCACTGCATTCCAGCCTGGGTAACAGAATGAGACCCTGTCTCAAAAAAAAAAAAAAAAAAGAGAAAAAGCATACAGGATAACAAAATACAAAGAGTATAAAAAAGTATAAAATAGAAAAAGTAAAAGCCTCCTTACTTCCATCCTCAGCCAGGCAAACTTGATTTACATTCTTTTTTCAATTCTTTAGCCTTTTTATTTTCAGATCATTGTAGATCACATGCAATTGGAAGAACTAACACAGAGAGATATTGTATACCTTTTACCCAGTTTCCCTCAATTATAACATCTTTGCAAACTGCAATACCATATCACAACCAGGATATGACATAAGACAAAGAAGGTAAACAAATAGATTTTTAAGTAACTTTTGTCTTCTTTGTCAGTTATTGTCAATTAGAGAGTCAGGCTATGAGAGGTAGGCTACCTGAGTGTCAGAATGAGGTCATAAGAATAATGCTTCTCCCCATCTCTACTAAAAATATAATTAGCTGGGCACGGTGGTGCCTGCCTATAATACCAGCTACTCAGGAGGCTGAGGCAGGAGAATCACTTGAACCTAGGAGGCGGAGGTTGCGGTGAGATGAGATTGCACCATTGCACTCCAGCCTGGGCAACAAGAGCGAAAATCCATCTCAAAAGTAAATAAATAATGCTTCTCTATTGGTTTTCATGTGTATGCATCTCCCTTCTTCAACACATGACATTGTAGGCATTTTGTCTCCCTAGCAGTTTTTCATTTTACCCTTTGGTGTCTTTCTACCTAATCCTTTGAAATCACCCAAACTGTGGGAAATTCCTGATGTGGTTAATACCCATGGAATAAACTTATTATATTAGTCTTGCCACAGAAAACTCCATAAATAGTCTACTTCCATAGGTTAGAGTGATATTAGAACTTCTGATGACAGTTTGCTTTTTAATAAATTAGGACTCAGCACTTACTTTGCGATTCAGGTCTTTGGCAGAACAAAGACTTGTGAGGTTTTGTTCTGATAGTTAATGGAAGAGAGAAATTTTCCCAAGGAAGTACAGATCTCCAGGCAAGGTAACGATGGAAATGTTGACGATTTGAACTTGCCTGCATTGTGCCAGCATTGCTGGGTAAAGAAGTTTCCTCTTGGGCCTTAGAGTGGAAGTGGTGGAAGAGAAATATAATTACAGGGCTGAATAAAAGTGATACCCTGGCCGGGTGCAGTGGCTCACACCTGTAATCCCAGCACTTTGGGAGGCCGAGGTGGGTGGATCACAAGGTCAGGAGATCGAGACCATCCTGGCTAACACAGTGAAACCCCGTCTCTACTAAAAATACAAAAAATTAGTCCAGCGTGGTGGCGGGCGCCTGTAATCCCAGCTACTCAGGAGGCTGAGGCAGGAGAATGGCTTGAACCCAGGAGGCAGAGGTTGCAGTGAGCTGAGATCCTGCCACTGCACTCCAGCCTGGGCGACAGAGCGAGACTCCATCTCAAAGAAAAAAGTGACACCCTAAGATTTTCCTTTGCTGACAACGTTACTTTAAAAAAATAAAATTTAGAATATGAGAGTCACATGTAGGTTGATTCTTATAATTGCTCCTTATTTTATTTAACTGTGTTTTCTGGAAAAAAAAAAAGTTTTTCTCTTCTTTTATGAGCGGAGAATTTCATAGTCCTAAGAAAAGTGACATTTAAATATTTGACCAGAAGATTTCTTGGTGGCCTGGAGAGGTTGTGTTGTGTTTATATTTAGATGCATATTTGTTTGTACTAATTACCCTAGGATTGCTTTATGGGGGTGCTCAAAATACATGCTTACAAAGGTAGGGCAGGCAATAGAAGTAACAAGGACCTGGTGAAGAACTAAGGTGTTTGGTTCCTTTTAAGGGACAGCCACTGTATCACTAGCCCTGTGAGAATGCCCGATCCTGTGGTCGCCACGTCTTTCAGTTTTTGTTGTTGTTGTTGTTGAGATGGAATCCCACTCTGTCACCCAGGCTGGAGTGCAGTGGCATGATCTCAGCTCACTGCAACCTCTGCCTCCTGGGTTCAAGCGATTCTCCAGCCTCAGCTTCCCAAGTAGCTGAGATTACAGGCCCGCGCTACCACGCCTGGCTAATTTTTGTATTTTTAGTAGACACAGGGTTTCACCACGTTGGCCAGGCTGGTTTCGAACTCCTGACTTCTGGTGATTCGCCCACCTTGGCCTCCCAAAATGCTGGGATTACAGGCATGAGCCACCACTCACAGTTTGTCCTTCAGTTTTAAAGAGAAACTATAAATTGTATTTTTTTATTAAAGCCCTTTAAAGCCAACAAATAATTCAGATTTTAAATCAAAGCCCTGTGCACTGTGTGCTCCTGCACAGTATGCTTCTCTCTAGTATCATTTTCATTTAATTCTTGGCAATTTTATGTTTACCAACTGCCAGGGAGCCCAAGGAATTTAGCTGTCACCTCAAACTTAACCAGACTTACAACCTTTATCCCTAAACCTGCTCCCTCTCTGGACTCTTTGCTGTTTATATTGGCCTCAGTGTTCCAGTCATTTCTGAACTGAACAAGGCCTTGGTGTTTTTTCTTCTCTTGTCCTTCCCACTATAATTCCCCGAAACCTGAGTCTGTTGATTTTGTCTCAAGAATTTCCCTGTTTTCTGTTCCCTTCCTTCCTGTTCCAGCCACCCTCGTTGCTAGCCCGCCTACTGCTCCTCTGATCCAGATTCTGTCCCCATTGTAGTTCCTGTAGCATTGTCCAGCCAGGTTGATCATCTTTTTCTAATACCTCTTTTGTTATCTTCCTACTCCAAACATTCTATGTGTCCTTGTTGCCTACTATGTAAATTTCACTAATTCTGCCTAGATCTCAGGGCTTCATAGTAGTTTTATCTTGGCTGTCTAAATTTCCCCCCGGCACTCCTTAACCCATTGGTCCATTAAAGCCAACTCTACTTCCCCAATTCAGTCCCCTTTCGGGGCTGCCAGGAATCTTGTGGGAGTTTCTGGATAATGGGTAGATCCTTTCCCTAGGCCTTGGCTGTTGAGATGACGTAGATTCTGGAGTTTTTAATTTTTTTTTTTTTTTTATAAACCTCTATTACCATTTGGCCCCGACACCTCAAGGCAAGAAGGAAGTGGAATAAAGGAAGACTCCAGGTGAATCCAACTCTAACTGGGGAAGATGCTGAGAGGGAAGAAGGCTGCTTTGAAATCCTCAGATTCCCAGTATACCCAAGTTGAGGCTTCTCCATCACAGACTTTGGGACGGAGAGGTCTTATTTTACTACCTTTGAGAGTTCCTACTTCAGCAGCTTTCTGCCTCTCTCCCTCCAGCTGAGACCAGAAATTTTTGCTTTGAAACGTGAAGCTATACTAACCACAGGCATTTTGCAACCTAAATGCAGCGTATGCTCATTCTCCTTGCAGCCCACCTAGTTGTGCATGTCCTTAAATAGTTGTGTGATCGACTTGGTCACTTTAATCAACTAGAACAACTTGTAGGTTAATAGGTGAACTTCCCTATTCAGAAAAGTCTTCAGATAATGTCTTGTTTTGATGAAATGCTGGTAATTTGCTGAAACATTCTTTCTTGCCTCTCTCCTTTGCATTTTGTTTAGACCCCTGATGTATATAACACATAGCACCTAGAATTATAGTTATCTGAATGTGTGACTATTTGCCATTTTACTCTGAGTTCTATGAGGTAACAAGTGCTGCTTTTGTGTTCCCAGCTTTTAACACCATGTCTGGTTATGAAAAGCACTCAACAGAGTAGATCCTTGACATTTTCTGATTGTACATCCCAAGTCTATGAGGAACCTTAGAATCTGTGACTGTCATTAACTACGACATACATTTCAAATGATTATTAGGCCCAGTCCCCAGCTAAATAACTTACAGCTAAACCGAGTTATGTCAGCTTAAGCCTCAGATTCTGACAGGAGCATTTTCTGTACTTTATCTCATTTAATCAGCACAACCACCTTCTACAGTGAATAATATTTTTTCTCCATTGTGAATTATTATATGACATCGACTTTGGGAGTGGCTTGGCAAATGCATGCAAGGCCTGCTGAGCAAGTTTGGATGGGTGAATAGATTATTAGAAAAAAATAATGATTAAATGATTTGTTTCCTAAGGGCTTTCCATTCTAATATATGAAACATTTTGATCAACAAGAAGATAAAACTGGAAAACAAGAGATGAAATAACAATAGATATTGTTTAATAATTCAATCTTCTTTTTTGTTTTTTGGTTTTCCTTCTCCCCCAAAACAATAAAATACGTAGCTTGGAGATTGTGTTGGACTCTCAGTCCTCAGTAAGAATTAATTACCTTTTCTTCTTTTATTCTCCCCCGCCTTTTTTTCTTTACCAGGTGATGGCTGTGGACACCTAGTGACTTATCAGGATAGTGGTACAATGACATCTAAGAATTATCCCGGGACCTACCCCAATCACACTGTTTGCGAAAAGACAATTACAGTACCAAAGGGGAAAAGACTGATTCTGAGGTTGGGAGATTTGGATATCGAATCCCAGACCTGTGCTTCTGACTATCTTCTCTTCACCAGCTCTTCAGATCAATATGGTAAGAAAAGAGACCGGGGTTTCTCTGAGCATCAAAATTTTCGATACTTGCAGAGAAGGGCAAGTGGTTTGTTAATGAACAGTATATCCCGAGAAGATTAGAAGAGAAACTTGCTTGTGTAAGCTCCTGGGGGGAACTTAGAAGAATACATTTACTTCCTAAGCTGAAACAGCAAAAGACATCTAAGGAGATGTGAACCTTGTGTGTGTCTCAGAACCTTTGAGTGAGTGTCAGTGCTGCTGGGGAGAGAATTGGAGATACGTGACATTTGGTAAACCATCTACAGTTCATTATTCATTTGACAAATATTTATTGAATAGAAGAGTGACTTTGTTTCAGGTACTCTGTCAGGAACTGGAGTGTAACAGTGAAAAAACAAAGTTCCTTTATGAAACTTGCATCTGCAGGGAGAGGAAGGTAGAAAATAAGCAAATATATCTGTAGTATGAGAGATGGTGAGAAAGAAAAGGAATAACGAAAACGAAGGCATCCAAAGGTGATGTAGAGCCTGCCTTTGTTTTTGTGCCACTTCCAATGGGATGGTAGGGAGGCATCATCAGTAAGTGGACATTTGAGCAGAGACCCAAATCGAGGTAAGGGAATGGACTGTTTAGGTATGACTGGGTTCAGAGTTTTCTGGGGAAGAAAACGGCAAGTGCAAAGCTGAGTTTCCTGAGTAGCCTTTGAAATTTAGTGTTTTGTGCTTTGAGATGTGCTGTTAGCCCACTGGAACCTGAAATCACAGTCACAATGACCCTTTGATCCTAAGCCCAAGGAAATTGGGCAGTTCGAAAACGATAACAAAATCTTGCATACATTCTTTTGAGTATAGAGATTTTGTGAAATTCTCTGTGCACACAACTTTAAAAATGATACACGTTTTAGGTAAAATCCTGTCTGCCTGCTAGCTCTACTGATAATTTCTCAAACACTCACAGCTTTCTCACCTGTGTTGATCTTTGCACTCAGAGTTGCTTCCTCACTCCTGCTGCCTCTTCCTACAGTTTAGAAGCCCAGACAAGCCTTGTGACAATTCAGAGATCTAAACCAGCTCCCATGGGATAAAAAGATCTAAGATCGATTTTTAATCCCTAGGAACATTGTCTGTTTAATGATGGTTGAGTTACTCCGACAGAGTCAAGATGGTAATTTCCATATAATTGTTGGTAACTTTTTAACTGTAGTTTGACTCAAATGGGCAGGATGACACTTTCAGGGATGCTGAAGGCCCCTGGGAACACTTATTGTTCCATTACCTCTGGTAATCTAATGTGTGTTAACTTATGGAGGCATTTGTCAGGGAGTCCCTCAATAGCCAGGAGGTTTCTTTCAGATATTGAGGAGGGGGTGAGTGTCAGAGACGCAGTGTGAAAAGTGATGCAAAGTGCTGCAGGACCGGAAGCAGCTTTTCCACATGGGTCTCTTTGGGGAAGCATCTGCCGTGCCCGGAAGATGAGCATTTCATTCCACCTGCTGACATAACAGTGGAGGAATCATTCTGTTGCATAAGACTGTCACGTCAGAGGCTGAAGTGAGAGCAACTAAGGGAAGCAAATCCTCCCAAAGCAGGATGTGGAGAATGGATGTGGCTTTCCCACACCAGGGAGTTTCCTCCATCATCTTTGAGGTATATTCATAAATATACACAAAGGCAGAAAAGGTCAGGGGCGGTGGCTTATGCCTGTAATCCTAATACTGGGAGGCCTAGGAGGAATGATCGCTTGAGCTCAGGAGTTCAAGCAATCTAGCCTGGGTAACATGGTGAGACCCCCATCTCTCTATTATAAGAGAAAAAAGACAGAAAATAATGGAATTAACTACATATCTCAAGCCAGCTTGCAAGGTGATCATGATCTGCCTCCTCATTTCTAGATTCTTGAGCTTTCAAGCTTAGATGCCTCACTAGAAAATGAATAATGAATTGCAATTCATTCATAGCAATAAAGCCAAGTAATTTTCCTCCTTGAATTTTTTTCTGTATAAATTGAATGTTTGTCTTTTGGAAATAAAATGTATACTCATTATAGAAATAAATATATTCAGTGCCTATTGTATGCCAGGCACCTGCTTGGCTCTTACATATATTGTCTAGAATCCCCTAATCCACCTTCCAAGGTAAATAATCAATGCCTTCCACAGATAGGAAAACTGAGGCACAGTGTGATTAGGTTAACATGCTCAAGATCCCAAGAGTGTACAACTGGGGTGAAAGAGAGATTTATATCTGTGTCTCTGTGGCTGCAAGACACCTACTCCCACTGCTGTTGTCTCCTGGTTTCACCATCACCAAAAAACCACATTGCACTGTCATCCTTCCCGGGTGGACTAGCCCATTATTACACTATGCGGCAATTTCATCTAAAACACAAGAAGTCAGTAGTATTTTTGATTGAGGATGTGCTTAAGATAAACTATGTAATGATGCTCAGAATTTCTCTCTTTTGTGGATACTTTAAAGATTTCCGGTGACCAAAAACACTAACCCGACCTATATTTTAACTTAGTTAAATAAACCCCTGGTCTGTTTGAACATCCTCCAGGAATGCAGAAGGAGGAGGAGACAGAAGTGCTTTGTCTTTCAGTGGCTGGCGCTCAGAGAGTGGACATTCCTGTGCAGCTGTTGCCCAGCTTCCTGGAAGCGTGGAAGGGTGGGAGGCACCTCTGCAAGCTGATGTGGCCACAGGATCTGGCATGGCTGTGGAAGCAGGGCCCTAGTGCCCTTGCAGACTCCCAAGGATCTAGAGCTATATTGCCTGAACCAGTGAGAGGGGAATGTCTGTTGAAATTCAGCAGGGAGAGAAGGCATGTTATGGAATACCACCTTTAATTCCAAAATATGATGGCTTCTAATGATTATATGTGTGGCAGAAACAGCAGAATCGTTTTAGTTTATCCTGCCCGATATTTTTTATTAGCCAACTAATTGTTAAAACCCACTGCCAAAGGATTTTAAAACTTAAAACTATCAGAATTTGAATATGGAGTAAATGTTTTGAAAAAGAATATTGTTTCCTGGCATTAATGTTTGCAAGCTCTGCCAAGAGTGGACATACTTGTGATGACACTAACCATTGTGAATATGCTAAAGTTGTATAGTGTTCATCATTATGCAGTTAATGTTTAATGGTTCCCCACCATGTCAATTTTGTTTTAAATATTTGGTTTATATACTTTGGGTATTTTGATAATTCACATTCTTGCTAGCAAAAATGCATTGTAAACAAGTGTAAACACCCACAACAACTTTCACAGTAATCTAGCAAAATATGCACTTGATCTCATTGTTTCCTAATACAGACAAAATGGGATTATTCTTCTTCTGTTTGTCATATGATTACGGCTGATCTTTCAGATTCAAAAATCCGTTAGAAGAATGTACTTGTATGCCTATGACTGAATTAAGACACTAAGATATGTGTGCTATTAATATTATGCTGGCCAAAACAAAACAAAAAAATCTTTAAGAAGTATCATGCTTTTCTTAGTAGACATCATTTTCACTATAGCTAGGGGAATTCTAGGTTTTTGTTTAACAGACCAAAGTAACTGAGACTCCCTTTGAAAAAATGCTAATATCCGTTTTCCAGTCTGTGGTCCAATTCAGGATCATAAAGCAGTTACTTGTCCTGACTTCTCAGTCTTCCTTTATCTTTTGAGAATACTGACCAGTTATTTTACAGAATGTCTGTCAATTCAGTTGGTTTGATGTTTCCTCGTGATTGAATTCAGATTATGTATTCTGGGCAGACATAATACTACTACTTTTTAAAGAAATCTTTAAAAGGCTTGCTTATGACAGTTTCTAACATTAGAAATTATGAGGTCATGTGTCCCTTCAAGAATGAGAACTAAATCTGCATTAAATTTCTTTGCTTCCCTCTTGACTATTTGATTAAATGACTTTTCTTTTTTCAATCAAAACTGCATTGATTTTTAGGTTATTTCAAGCTGAAGTGTCTTCCTGGAGGAGTTCTTTGTTCTTCAAAGAGGCCCATGTCATATGAAACTTTGAAAGGACTCAAATATAAGGTGTTGCCTTTTTGTAGAAGACAATTTTGGAGAAGTCTGGGCACATAAGATAATAGAAAGTTGATTAAGGTAGCCTACCCAGGCTGTTCTAGGATTGAACACACTTTGAAACCTGGAATTTGAAGATTCAGACAAGTAGTTTATTAAAGAACATCTCTTTAAATTTAAACATATTGTATAAGACATTTAAGATGACTGCCTTGGTCCTGTTCTCAGTTCCCCCCTCCCTCATTTTACATATATGTGGTAAAATAACAGAAGGTTAGTTATATAAAACACTGAAATATCTTAAACTTTGAGGAAAAATAGCTGCTGATTCAGGCGTTGTGTCACACTAATATACACAGATTTAAAATATTAAATATATAATGTTGTATTTATTTAGAAGACTGAAGAGGGAAGGCTTTGCCTTCATACTGAAGATACTACTCTTAATTTTACAGCCCTTTAGTGAGCTTGTAACCTTGACTTCCCCTCTGGGTAAATTCCATTTCTAGTCTTACTGACTAGAATGGACTTAGACTGGAATATTCGCTCAGAGGTTTGTTTTTGCCCCCACTGCCGGTAGGGACCTCAGAGGAGGTCATTTCTGTTTTCCTGATCTTTCAAGAAGGTTGAGTCTGAGTTTCCCCCTGAAAGGTGACCTCCACACTGGATGGAGTTCGGGGTGGTTCGGGGACTGCCTGAAGAGCTGTTGGAGCAGTCTTGGCAGGAACCAGACACTGGCCAGTCTTCATAGGCATCTCAGGGTCTCAAAGGAGCTTGTTCTGATGGAGACTCTAGACTTTCCCACCTGGATCAGTGTGGATCAATAAAACCAGGCTGGCCTTGAAAATGGATTGAAATTTTTGTTGCTGCCTCGATATTACACTTGTGTTTAAGAGCACAAACTCTGTAATTGGACTCCCTTGCCTCAAATTCCTGCCTACTCACAGGTGTGAGCCACCACGCCTGGCCTTTGCTGCTTATTT